TCATGATAGAGTTGAGGATACCCATCTTCCTCAACTTAAAAAAAGTGGAAGGAACCTAAGACATCTTGAGATGTCACTTATTGAAGATTCTAAAGCAAAAGGATGGTACTTTTAAGTTTTTGTTACTGTTTTTGAGACCAGGTCTCACTATGTAGCTTAGGTTTGCTTTGAACTGCCTCACGCCCTGCCTTCCCCCAGTGTTAAGATTGCAAAGATAGATACACCACTACACCCTAATTTTTTTTTTCGTTGCTGGGGTGGAATATAGGACTTTAAGAATACTAGGAAAATGTGTTGCCACAGAACAAACCTACCCTATGCATTTAGCTTTCTTGCTATTTACCCAGAGTTGCAACGGTGTGTTTCATAAATCAGGCTAAAGTTTTTGTCATTGGAGTCCTTACTTTCCCAGGATTTCCCGTCTGGTCTTGCTCTTTATCAAGAGGTTAATAGTCGTCTATTCAGTGAACTGTGGGGTTGAACTTCCACAAATCAAAATGAAGAAAACATGATACTTACATACCAGATTTCCAGAGTAACCGCAGTTACAAAGTTCAGAGACCTGGGGCCATTTATTCTAGAAACATTTTACCTAGAAAATGTTTCCTTGGTGTCGAAAGGCCCCTGTTATCAAGTGTCTCCTTAGGTTAGAGCTGATCCAGCTCTCTGTGTCCCCAACATCCAGCACAGCTAACATTGAGCTGAGCCAGCATTGAGGAGTGTGAGCATTCTTTCCGGCCGTGGTCACAGGTCTTACCCTGAAGAGAACAGGTACTGCCATTTCCTCACACTGCTGCAGGAGGGCTGAGTGTTCTGGTATGATGCATCCAGAATCACCTGAATTGGCTGGACTTCTCATATTTCCTTCCTAATTGTTCTACAATCACCCAACTGCTCTTTCTTAGTTTTGAGTTGTTAGTGACAGGGTCTCCTGTGTCTCAGCCTGGCCTTGAACTCATTTGTCTCCAGGGCTGACTCCTGATCTTTCTGCCTCCACCTCCCAAGTGCTGGCTCGCTCACTTTACTAAACCCAGTTGGGGATTGAAGCCCTGGGCTCTCCCAGTTTTCTCAATAAGAGGTCAGCGTTTGAGGCAGCATCACATCTCATACATTTTCATGCGTGGTATCTCATTTTAGTTTTCACAGCATATTTGAGAAAGTAAAACAAATTTTGTTGGCCTGTTTAATAGATGAGGAAACTCAACTTCCGGAAATTATGACTCACACACTGCACTGCCAAGAGCTAATTAGTATGGAGACCTTATCTCCCAAACCTAAAGACCAGGCCCTGTGTTTGAGGTCAAGCTACCCCTTCCACACTTGAAGATAAGCTGGGTTTCTAGTAATAATTAGCAGTGGGTAGGAGTTCAGAAGTAGCTTCAACATGCTGGCAAATCCACTCAGCGTGTCCCTCCTCCAATACCAGGTGGTAGCTGACCTAGAAAAACAGGTCACATCTTCTCTGTCCATCCATTTGCTAAATGGAATGTAAAACTGGCCTTTGGTATTTTAATTCTCTTAAAAATTCTTCTAATTAAGCCGGGCGGTGGTGGCGCACGCCTTTAATCCCAGCACTCGGGGAGGCAGAGGCAGGCGGATCTCTGTGAGTTCGAGACCAGCCTGGTCTAAGAGCTAGTTCCAGGACAGGCTCCAGAACCACAGAGAAACCCTGTCTCGAAAAACAAAAAAAAAAAAACAAAAAAAAAAAAAATTCTTCTAATTACTTGGAGAGGAGTTGTGTGGGTGAGTGTAGGCTTGTTTTGGGCTGAGAGGGCACCTTTTGAGAATTGGGTCGCCTACCACTGTGAGTTCTAGGTTTTCAGGCTCATGCTCACGCATTTTTACTCTGAGCCATCATACCATTTATGCGCAGTTAATTCTTAGGAATGCTAAATTTTACTCTCCCCACCTCCCCTAGCAGTTTTGTATTGTTTTGAGATAGGGCCTTGGCATTTATAACAGTCCTCCTGTCTCCACTCCTCAAGTGTTGTGATAACAGGCATGCATGAATGCTAGAGTTTAGTGGTGCTAAAGAGACCAAGTTACTCTTCAGTTTGCCTTCAGGAACTGGGTTTATTATGTTGATCCTTCCTATTTGTCCTGGCATGGTCTGATAAGCTCACCCAGGGATGCCTAATACTGTTTCATTTCCTAAGATTGCTCGTGTGATCTTTCCACAATGTATGCCTGTCTCAAAAAAAATTATTTGTCAATTAAAACTTGGAAAATAAAGAGAAAAAAAAACTAGATCTAAAGTTAAAATCAGATCTCATAATGGTTCATTTAGTGCCAAGGCACCCAGTTACACACTCAGTATACAGCTTTCGTTTAGCTTGTATGTCCAGTGCATTCTGTGTGCACACTGTGACAGTTATAACTCAGATTGCAGGCTCCAGAGGATGCTGTGCTCTGATGGCTTGGACCCTGGTAGTGAATCTGAGGGGAATCCTGATCAGCCCTATAGGAAGCTTCTGGTTTAATTGGGGCAGTCACATATAGGGTAGTGTGGTATCAGTTATCTACAGGAGTGAAATCTTGAACCATAGACAGCCTTCTAGGAAGCAGGCAGGGGACTCACAGTGATGGCAACAAGCCTAATGCCCAGCAGAAATCTGTTCAAAGAGGGAATCATGATCAAGTCTTGGTAAAGAATGCTAGGAGCAGCCATTTAACCTCCCTGTGCGTATGGGATAATAACAGTGACTCATGTTGTGGGCGTAAACCGATTGTTGCTGAATGTCCTACCCAGTGACTCAGGCTCACAGCATTGTTCTAATGCCAGGGAACAGGTCACCCTGCCATTGCTTTTCTGTTACCTGTTCCTTTCCTTCAGTGCAGAATGAATACCAGAAGTCTTTATTATTCTTTAGATCATCGGATAGGATGGACCTTAGGTTACATTTCTGCCTGGCAGCAGTGCTCTGAAATTACCTGGCCTTGTGAAATTTGCTGGAGTTAGTCTCCACGAAGGAGAGTTTCTTTGAATAACGTCTGTTATTTCTGAAAGTCCTAATGCCTTCACAGTGCTTTACCAGGAACAACAGCTCTGAGGTAGATGTTTTAGATCTGCTATGTGGGTACCTCTTGCTGGAAATCTCTGTGGTAGGAACTTGCTGCTTCACTCAAAACAGGTATTAGAATGAAAACAAGCAGCCCATTGGGAAAACAGCTGGTAGTACAGGAATTAGGGAGTAGCAGTCAGTTTTTTCTTTTTCTTTTTTCTTTTTTAAAGCTGGGTGGGGCGGGGCACAGAATGCCCTTTCTGCTGCAACTTGTGGTAGCAGAAGGGCCAAGGACTGACTTCCTGTTGACTAGTTCAGGGCAGAACTTTGCTAGTTTTCTAATACCAACCAATTTTAATTTGTGTTTCCTTTTTACTCATTCCTTTCCTGCATTTCTCTCCCTTTTCTCTTTTTTCTTTCCAATAGGATAATGCTACTTTACATAAAAGAAACAGTCAGTTGGCTAAGTTGGCCAACGAAAACCATAAATGAAGAGTTTTCCAGATCCCCTCCCTGTCGTTGTTAATGTACTTACATGGTGATATAATCCTTGCTGGGCAAGCACTCTGCCTCTGAGCAGCATTCCCAGCCTGTACAGTGAGTGCTGCTTATACATAGTTGTAGTCGTGGTTTAGATTTTTTTGGGTTTGGTTTTGGTCTTTTGAGACAAGGTTTCTCTGAGTCACAGTTCTGGCTGTCCTGGAACTTGCTTTGTAGACCAGTTTGGCCTCGAACTCACAGAGGTCCTCCTGCCTCTCTGCCTCTGCCTTCCAAGTGCTGGGATTAAGGGCGTGCACCACCTCCTGTCATATATATTTTTTTAATATAGACTATTCTGTACGTGATCACAGTTTGTCAGCTTGTCAGGGTGGTGCTAGCATTGTTACTGTCCTTTGAGTAGCTGAAGCCCTGGCTGTTAGGCTGTGTGATTTATTTTCTTACTTTATAGTATGACTATTATTAGGGTATAGATTACTGGGTTTTGTTTGTTTGTGTGTTTGTTTTTTCGAGACAAGGTTTCTCTGTGTTAACAGTCCTACTGTCCTGGAAGTTTCTTTGGAAACCAAACTGGCCACGAACTCACTGAGATCCGCCTGCCTTTGCCTCCCGAGTGCTGGGATTAAAGGTGTGCACCACTGCCTGGCCCAGTTTTCTATTTTTAAGGAGTATGTCCTAGAGTGTACAGGTCAACAAAGGATTTGGAAATGTAACTTTTCAAAGACTGAGATAATATTTTACAGGAGGGCAAGGTAACCTCTTAGTATTACCTGTGTGGCCATTCGGCCAAGGAGTGGTAAATCAGCAACAAGAATGGACACATTTTGTCCCCCGGCAGGAGCCTGTGTTGGTTGAATATGGTAACTGAGCCTTCCTGGAAAGGGAGCTTTCAGATACCCTTGAGGACTCGGTATTCTTCAAAGGGAAATAAGTAAATTGTACTTGGAGTTTAGAAAACTATTGAAGTGATAAACAACAGGTTACTAATATTATTTTATTGTTTAAAAATGCATAATTAAGCAGGGCGGTGACGATGCATCTAATCCCGAGCTACAGCCCTACCTCGAGGGCTGTTCTTACACCTGATTGTCTCGGTTGTAGAAAATGCTCAGTAAAGAAGTACTAATTGAGGCAGAAGATTAAGCTTTCTTTTCCCTTGGCCCAGCTTGGCCAGAGTCGGCTCCAGAGTTGACTTATTGATGATGTGTCACAGTGTTCTCTAAAGAACACTTGCTAGAGCAGACGTCTCCTGAGATGGAGAACAAAACTGCCGCATTATGGGTTGTGTTCCCTTGCTGATGAAAGGTGAGCCTTGAGTAGGCAGTGGGCATTGATCAGCTCAGCCTTTTATTTCATGCAGCCCAGCAGAGTACAGAATAGGCTTGGGATAGTTTGCTAGGTGACTCATTTGAAGGTGTCTCAGGCTTGTGGAGCTGTTGGGCAACAGCCTGGCTTAATTAAACTCTAACAACACCCTGTTCATCCTTTTTTACTTGGCAGCCCACAGGTAGAATGGAAAGCCTTGCATTGCTTAATAAGGTGAGATCCCCTGTAGCCTTTTTTTTTTAATGTATCTTTCTTTTACGTTTTTAGTAGCTTTATATTTGTGTATAATTTCAAACATGCAGGGGAGAAAATGATAAGACTAATACAAAGAACTTTGTAGCCCAGTAGTAGTGCACACTGTTAATCCCAGCACTCGGGAAGCAGAGGTAGGCAGATCTCTGAGTTTGAGGCCAGCCTTATCTACAAAGCAAGTTCCAGGACAGCAAGTTACATAGAGAAACCTTGTCTGGAAAGAAAAGAAAAAAAATTAAAAAGAGCTTTTGTATACCTTTTCCCCAGACTGTCAGCATTTGCCTCATGTGCTTTCTTCACAGGGATGCACACTTACATTCTTCTCAAGGCTGAGAGCAGGTGTAGACAGCGTGCTGTTTACTTCTGAATGCCAGTGTGATTGCCTAAGAACACATTCAGCAACGTTATAATTATACCTAACTTATTGTCCAACTTCAGATCTGTCCTCTTCCTGAAATGGTCCTAGTAATGACAGAGCTTTGTTGTGAAAAACAGTCTTGAGGGGCAAGGGTGTCTCCTCGGTTATGTTGGCTTAAAGCCAAAAGACATTATTCAGTCACCAATTTCTTGTGTCTTTACAGGACCGGAGTGAGGAGGGCATCACCAGCTACTCAGCAACAATGTCTTCAGAAGTGGAGACCTCAGAGGGGGTAGATGAATCAGAGAAAAAGAACTCCGTGGCCCCAGAGAAGGAAAACCATACCAAGTGAGTGACAGCAGCTGACTGCTTCTCATTGAGAGGGTCCAACAACCATCATGCCTGGTTCAATCTGTCGGTGGCACTTGGGAGTGCTCATCAGCCTGAGTTGTGTAGACCCTGGGATGTTTGATTGGCAGTGCAGGCCCCTGTCCAGCCTGGGCTGTTCCATTCTCTGGTTTTCTGTTTTGTTACCAATGGAGACAGGCCAGATGCTGGGAGTGCTGAGTCAGGGTTTCATGGTGGTCATTATTCTCTTTTTAAAAACCAAGTGGTGCCAGCAGGGCGGTGTGCACCTTTGATCCCGACAAGAAGCAGGCAGATTTCTGGCTAGCCTGGTCTACAGAGCGAGTTCCAAGACAGACAGAGCTACACAGAGGAACCTTGTCTCTAAAAACAATCAAACAAACAAACCCCCAAACCTAAGTGGGTTTTCACATGAACTCACATGAGGAATGATGAGGCAAAGCTGATTCCCTTTACAGGGTTATCTTTCTACCAATGTGGAATCTGAACTCTGTTCTAGGCCAGGCCTTTACTTGTAAATTTAAATTACTGGGCTTTGCTCTGCATTTTTCCTAGCCTCTCATTAAAGTCCTGTTGTTGGCTAAGTTATTATATCTTAAAATAATTGTTAATAAACAAATTCTTAGGACGTGAGTGATACAAATTAATCTAAAAAACAAAAACAAATGAAACTGCAGAGGCTAGACTGTTTTTGTTTTGTTGTTTGTTTTTTGAGACGGGGTTTCTTTGTATAACAGTCCTGGCCGTCCTGGAACTTGCTTTGTAGACCAGGCTGGCCCTGAACTGAGAACCAACATTTTCTCATTCTAATAGATGGACTGTATGGATATACCGGAGTTCTCCCTAGGTTCCATTGTCCTTAGGACCATACTTTCCTTCCCTGTCCATTTACTGGTGTAACTATCCTGTGTGATTCTGATTCTGTTAAGAAATTCTGTTACAAAATGGGGAGGCAGAGGCAGGAAGTTCTATTGAGTTCGAATGCTACAGATTGAGTTTCAGGACAGCCAGGACTACACAAACAAACTGCCTTGAAAAACAAAAAAGGAGAAGGGGGGGCGATGGGGGAATAAGAGAAGAAGAAAGAATACAAAACCAAGATCTTGGTCCTCATCTCTCAACTGTCTCTTCTTCCCACACCTGGGCCCATCCACGTAACACCCTAGGTTCCTCATTGGGAAGAAGGCAACTTTCTGGGCTGGATTAAGTTTTGTTTCTTCAGCCACTAGGTGGCCACAGAAGCCAAATCATTCATTTGGGTGCTTACTAACATGTATACATGGATCCATAGTCTTGGGGAGACAGTAGTAATCTTTATGTGCCCTGAATTTTATGGCAGATTGTCACATCTGCTTGCCCTGTGCTCACATATAAGACTCACCACCTGTTCATGCTGGACTAGTCTGAGCAGCTCCAGCTTTAGTCTGTATCTGGGGTCTAGACTGTCTTTGGCCCTTTAGTCCTTTCTGGAGAACTGGAAAGGGCTACTGTCTTACACACAAAACTCATTCCACAGAATGGCAGACCTCTCTGAGCTCCTGAAGGAAGGGACCAAGGAAGCACATGACCGGGCAGAAAATACCCAGTTTGTCAAAGACTTCTTGAAAGGAAACATTAGGAAGGAGCTATTTAAGGTTTGTGCCCTCAGTCAGATGGGGTTGGATTCTAAACTTAATTAATGGGTGGGAGGTGGGGGGGGGGGGGCTCAGCCCTCAAAGGGAGAAGCTGCTGGGTCTTTTTCTTGGAGACTGTCTGGCTGCATAGTCCATGGACTCTATCCCTGGGTCCTCCAGCCTTAGCTTCCTAAATACTGGGGATGAAAGGTATGTGCCTCCATGCCCAGCCATATGTATGTGTATATATGTATGTATGTATGTATGTATATTTTTTTTCCTGGTGTTAACCTGTGACTGTCCTAGCCTAAATGGATTAACAGAAATGTTTGTAATATTCACTGTTTTTTTTTTTTTAAGAAGTTACAGAAGTGTGTTAAGTAGTTCACTGTATAAAAAAGGAGTCACAGCTGGATTTTTGGGACAGGGCAAAGTGGCTTTTGTCTTGACCTAGTCGTGAAACATGGTGGGTTCCAAAAAAAAAAAAAAAAAAAAAAAAAAGCTGGAGGGGGCTGTAGAGATGGCTCAGTGGTTAAGAGCATTGCCTGCTCTTCCAAAGGTCCTGAGTTCAATTCCCAGCAACCACATGGTGGCTCACAACCATCTGTAATGAGGTCTGGTGCCCTCTTCTGGCCTGCAGGCAGGCATACACACAAACAGAATATTGTATACATAATAAATATTTAAAAATAAATATTTTAAAAAAAGCTGGATAGTTGTGGCATCACACACCTTTAGTCTCAGCACTGGGGAGGCAGAGGCAGGTGGGTCTCTGTGAGTTTGGGGCCAGCTTGGTCTACGCTATGAGTTCTAGGACAGCCAGGGCTACACACACACAAAACCTGTCTTTGAAAAACCAAAACTCAAAACGAAACATAGTTCTAAAGCTGCTGGTTTAGCTTATAATCTTCTCCCACGATCTTCATCACCCTCACAGTTGGCCACTACTGCACTTTATTTCACGTACTCAGCCCTTGAGGAAGAAATGGACCGAAACAAAGACCACCCAGCCTTCGCCCCCTTGTATTTCCCCACGGAGCTACACCGGAAGGAAGCACTGATCAAGGACATGGAGTATTTCTTTGGTGAAAACTGGGAGGAGCAGGTGAAGTGCTCTGAGGCTGCCCAGAAGTATGTGGACCGGATCCACTATGTCGGGCAGAATGAGCCAGAGCTGCTGGTGGCCCATGCTTATACTCATTACATGGGGGACCTTTCAGGAGGCCAGGTGCTGAAGAAGGTGGCCCAGCGGGCACTGAAACTCCCCAGCACTGGGGAAGGGACCCAGTTCTACCTGTTTGAGCATGTGGACAATGCCCAGCAATTCAAGCAGATCTACCGAGCCAGAATGAATGCCCTGGACCTGAATTTAAAGACCAAAGAGAGGATCGTGGAGGAGGCCAACAAAGCCTTTGAATATAATATGCAGGTACTGGGCACTGACCATGGAGCCTACTTCACGGAGTTATGACCATGGATGCATGAGCTTGATCCTTTAACAGTAGAGTCAGAGCCAGAGCTGTCTCGAGAGGCCATTGGTAGATGATAAATGAGCTCCTGCATGCCCTAGAGGAAGGTGAGGGGACCAGTTAGCCAGTGGAGAGCATGGGGTTAGTGTGTGGCTCCCAGATGGAGGCCTGGTTTAAGGCCTGTGGATAGTTATGGAAGGGCAGTGCTCCAGCATTTGAAAGGTCTGTCACTATAGGATGCTAGCTAGGATTGATGAGTGAGCAGTTTCTTAATTTTGTACAAAGACAGGAAAAATATTGTTTAGTATGGAGCCAGATTCACTGGGGAATAGGTTTTACAAGCTGATCATGCTGAAGCCATTTCTGATCCAGAATCCCATGTCAGCCCTCAGTGTTAGAACAGCAGTCACCTGAACTCCCACTAAGAGTTGCAGGGAAGTGTTCACTTTTCTGGCTTGATGTTCACCTAGTCCTGATCAGATGTATCTGGGCTGTAGTCCCTCTATGGGTGGTGAGTAGGGTGCAAATTCTAAGTCTGCCTACTTTAGGGATGGCTCAGTTAATTTCTGCTCCTCAGATATTCAATGAACTGGACCAGGCTGGCTCCATACTGGCAAGAGAAACTGAGGAGGATGGACTCCCCATGCATGATGGGAAGGGAGATGTACGTAAATGCCCCTTTTATGCTGCTCAGCCAGACAAAGGTAGGTTGCGGGTCCTCAGCTAACATTTCTGGAGCAGGTTATGTCATTGCTCTCCACTGATGCCCTGTCTCCTGTTGTGCGCCTACAGGTACCCTGGAAGGGAGCAGCTGCCCCTTCCGGACAGCCATGGCTCTGCTGAGGAAGACTAGCCTCCAGTTCATTCTAGCTGCCAGTGTGGCCCTGGCTGCTGGACTCCTGGCCTGGTACAACATGTGAAGGACCTGTCATGTTATTTGCATCCTACCCCAAGTGACCTGTTCCATCCCTAACTCCACCTCTGACTAAACTACCACCTCAGGCAACTTTTTTAATGCTGGGTTTGAGAAAACAAGCAACCAATAAAAGCCAGACACTAGAGCCTCTGCGTAAAAAGCATCTTCTCTGCCAGCCAGGTGCAAACCAAGCATAGGCTGACACTCTAATGACAGCCAGAACTCCACTGCAAGTCAGCCTCTGGACCTCTTCATCTGGCAGTGCCCCAGGATTTCTGCCACTTTGGAGGCCTGGGTACATTTTCTTCTTTCTTAATAGTACTTGGAGTAGTCATTGCCTTTGCTTGGGAGTTGGCTGCCCATACACCCAGGCTTGGTGGGAAAGGGTCATACCAACTGATAATGTTCAATTTTCTAGGCCTCAGGGAGCCTTTTGGGGGTGAAAACTATGCTTTCCTGTTCTCACCCCCCCCCCCCCCCCGAGCTTATCCCTTAAGCAGGCTGTTACCCTGGGCTGTCTCCACTGACTGGTATAACTGCTTCAGCACTCTTAAAGCAGACACCTCACACCTCCTCCACCCTGGGATAGGGTAGGTGAGACTACCTCCTGGTCCCCCAGAAACAAAAGCATGATGTATACATCCTCCTTGACAGCCCTCGCCTACCTCCCAACACTTCTGGACAATTCCCTGTACCTTATTTTTCCATGTATTCATGTTAAGCATTATAAAGATTCTTAATGTCTACTTGAACTTGTGATTTTTCTTAGAAATACTTTAAGGTTTCTTACTTTGAAAGCAGATTAAACTTAAACAATTCATAGTCTAAAATAGAAATGTGAAGTTAAATATTTTTATTAGTAGGAATCTATTTCTGTAAAAGTCTTGTGTGGAAAAAAAAAATAGTAAAACAGCAGGGAAACTCTTGAAACATGAGTCCACCACCTTCACAGTTCAGATGGTTGGTTTTACCAAGGCCAACCTGGTCGAGTGGGTGCCTGAGTGTTTATCTTCAGAATACAAGGTCTTAGTCTAACAGTCCTGTCTTGTTTAAGGACCAAAGAGCAACACCTTCAGGTTAGGAGGTCACTAAGCTAGGACAAGGCTCCAGTTCTCAGGCTCTGCAGCCTGGACACCTAATTATGTAAGTAGTGGAAACCAATGCTGAAACCAAAACCTCCTTGGCTCAGAACAGCTGGGTTCCCCCAGGGCAAGTCTATATATAATTCTGGTTTGGCGTAATTGGGTTTTTAAACCTGTTTTTTCCAGGCTCAATCTCTTGCCTGCCAGTAAGACTACTTGTAGTCCCACCCTGACCCTCAGAAAAGAAGGAAGCCAGGCAAGACAGCAGAGGCCCAGGGCAGGAGAGTGAAAGGGCCAGTTTAATGAAACTACAAACTGGAACCAGGCCACAGTTCACAGTGATAGGAGGCCATGCAGTGGTAGTGTGAGACCAGGAGAGGGACAGCAGCAGGACACAGCGCCCACGTGAGCATCTTTACAGACCATTGAGGAAATAGACAAGTTTGGGTTTACATCCTGGGCAAGACTCATGTCCTAGGACACCCCCACCACTTGTGACTTCTTCCTGGTCCCCAGCTCAGTGCCACAGTTGTCCCATCTATGGCAAAAAAGACTGGCACTTACTCCAGAGACCAATGAACCTATAAGGAGGCTCTTCTGATCTGCCATCTGTCAGCAAGCCACCAGGCAGAAGTTGTATTCACACACAGCACAGACACAAAAGTAGACAAGACAGGCTCATGGGCATTCATTCTTTCTGGCCCCAGGAAATATAGGGGTTCACAGAGGTGTGGCCAGAAAGAAGATCTCTGCACACTGACTGACTCAAAGGAAGCTAAGTAAGAACAGGGGCAAGTGTTCTTGGCTACCAGGGCTTTAACTAGCCCAGTGTCCTCTTCGCCAGGCAGCTCCTAGGTACCTCCTGTACAGTGTGGGTAGAAGTCCTGGGTTTCCATACCTGAGAGTTCTGAGGCCCAGAGTTGGCAGTCATTACTTCTTTCTTATTCCACCTTTGGCACCCCAGACAACATACTCCATATAAGCCCAGGCCTTAAGACCCTGTATTGCTTGGGTCCACTTAACTCTGGATGATGCCCTGACCTCATTTCAGGTCAGAAACAACTATGGTTCCAGGCATAGCCCTCACTGTAGGTCCTAGTCTGGGACCTGTTGATGCTTTGGGTGCTTTTGGTCCCAGGAAGAGTAAGGACCAAGTGTGGACCTTATACAGAAAGGAGGAGTGAGGACCCCAGTAAGAGACCCTCCAGCTTACCTTCTGGATTGCAAATGCCCAAGCAACACACAAGATCTGTGCTACCCCCATGCCACCCACTGGCCCTTGGCCTTAAATCCAACGCAGTTTTTGCTAGAAGAGTCGGATGCTCAGGGAAGGGCAAGGTGAGGACAGGATTTCCAGGGTACAGTGGCAAAACTTCCAACCCTAAGGGGGGCTGAGGGATGGTGACCACTGAGCATGGGGAGCAAAGCACATGGGGCCAGAGTAATAGGTGGGGGAGTCCAAGTCTAGCTCCGTTAGCACAAGCGCTTGTATGTGTAGATGTAGGCTTTGCAGCTGGGACACGTGTGCGTCACATCCTTGAAGTCATTGATGAGACAGGGGATCAAGCAGCAGCCCAGGTCACACCTGAATTGAAGACAGACAGGCTGAGTCAGGCAGCTTACAGAGCCCCAGCAGCACCACCACTTGTCAGCACCCCACACCTACCCCATGAAGCAGCAGAAGAAACCCAGCACAAAGTTCATCAGGCCAATCTCGTAGGAAATCTTGGTGGTGATTGCCTGCTGGCAGTGGGGGCACACTGTCTGCACAGGTGCACCTTCAAAAATCTCTCCCTGTAGTACTGTCACCGTGGTGGCTGCCCCTGATGGGACCAAGACTGTGGCCGTGTGGCCCCCAGGGCCAGGGTAGGGCCCTGGTGGGTAGGGTCCTGGTGGGTAATAGCCCATAGGTGGGTGAGGGCCTGGAGGAGGGTAGAAACCTGAAACAACACACAGAGAGATCACTGGCTGGCTGAGAAACACAAAACCTAGGATCCCCAGCACTTAGGGCACAGCCCACATAGCCTCTTACAATGGCCCAGGTCTTTTGATCTCTACATACTAAGACCAAGACAGATGTGGCAGACAGCTGGGAACATATCCCAGATCTACTTAATTTTCTTGCTCTGGCATGCCACGAGTGCGTTTCCATGCCTGCAAGGATGAGGGTATCAGTAACAAGAGGGAAGCACACCTCTCCTGCTTTTGCATGTCAATGTCTGATATATCAAAGATCACCCAACCCCAGAAACTATAGGAACCACAAACTTTGGGCCTGAGAGCTACTGGTGAGAAAGGACCAGGCTTCCAACGGGGCTTATGTCCCTGACAGGGAAAAGCCCCACCACACCCAGTCCTCAGCATGAACCACCGTAACCTTCCCTCAGTGAGTGACAAGTCCTCCTCTGCCACCATTTTCATTTCATATGGCATGACTGATGCCTTGCCACAGTCAATTCAGGGTGGAAGCCGCCTGTTTCCTTCAGGTCTCTTCCCAACTCACCTGCAGGCATGTAGGTGCCATCTGCATTCATGTGAGGGGGCACAAAGCCAGGCTGAGGCACTGGATGACCCGGTGGCTCATAAGGTGGAGGAGCAATGTCAGCAGAGGGTAGTGGCATGCCTGGTGGCGGCTGCATCACCGCTGGGGAACTGCGGCCTGGACAGACAGACAGAAGGTGGCTAAGCTGGTTTCTACACACAGACTGGGCACACGGTGACCCTGAAGCAGGGTTAGTTCACTGAAAAACCTCAATCATACTTGGAATGGAGAGGGAGTTACAACAGAGACCCCAGAAGACTGAGGTCAGGAAAGACCTTCAAGAGCCAATGATATGAGGTACTGACCCAGCAATCCCATCTAGGAACCCTTACCCAGAGCAATTTGCTATCCTTACCTGGGGTAGGTGGGGCCCCACTTTTTTCCTCTAGTAGTGGGGCTGTAGGGCCTCCAGGATAAGGAGGGGGGGGCTCATTAGACATCTCTGCTGCTGATGCTCCTGGACCTGAAGGGAAAACAAACCGAGCTCTTTGTTTCTACACAGGGCCAACACACTAGGTTGTGACCATCTTCAGATGTCCACCAAGCCCAAGCACCTAAGTGTTTTCTCTGGCTCCCTTCAGAGATTCCCTGGTTCAAGCTCAGGTATCTAAGTGTGTGGAGGATCAGGGCTGGTGGCTAGAACTAGTACCTTCGGAGCATCGGTGGCGACTGGGCTCCCTCTGACACTTGGGATACTCTATGTCTGCCAGGGACAACCCATTAGAGCTACCATCCTATACACTGCTCCATGGTCACCCACAACTCTTTCGAAACTGGGGGGGGGGTATAGACGTCTGAGGACAAGGCTCAGCAATCCTCTCTGGGAACCTAACCCCTACCTCTACCCAGGGAAACTTGGCACCCATTCTTCCAACTCTTGACTGGGCCACAGAGGGGCAGACTTCTACCGCAGGCTGCTGTAGCGAGGTTTGGAAAGAGATCTGGCTTTCTTACCTGAGGTTTCTGGTGCAGAGAATGAAAGCAGGTGAGAGTAATCAGCTGCCGGCTGAACTGTGGATCCAGGAGGCTGTTTCAGAGAAAGAGAAACAACACATAACCGCAGGCTTCCAGGTGAGTTATCACAGTATAACCCCTCCACTCCCACCCCTTTATTTCTCCAAGTGGCAAAACGGCTACATCCTCTGGGTGCCTACCATTCTCAATCCCTACAGACCCAATGCCCATGCTTGAAGGAATGCAAAAGGAGTCAGCTGTGGGTTGCTGTCTGGCACCGACTTGTCCCCTTCTGTTTTGCTTGGGAGGTATGAAAAGTTAAGAGTCAGCCAAAGAAAAACACTTTGTTTTAGTCCATCAAATGTCCTGAGTACTTGCTGCAAGGCACTGGTGGAGAAGCAGATGCCCTTACAGTAAATCCAGGCACATAGACAGGTGCCAAGTTTGCCAAGGGTGAGAGATCCTGGGGTTCGTGATTCACTTTGTCCCTACTCTCCAACTTCACATTTTCCCCTTCAAAATAGTCCAGTCTGGCCTCTAACTCTCCATCCCCTGCCTTAGCCTCCCAAATGCTATGATTATAGGCATGCACCAGGACATCTTGCTTCCTAAATTTAACAAATCAGTGACGGGGCAGAGAAATGAGATTCAAGCTTTGGGTTCAATTTTAATATGACAAGTTTGAGAAACTCCACTCCTGACCAGTACAGCCTAAACCAACCCCCCCCCCAATTCCCTTCTGCAGGAAGTTACTTAGGCAACCTTTGCCTGCATCCCACCTTTCCACAGACCAGTGGCGAAGCTTCCATCCACTTACAGGTTATATAGAGCCACTCTTCTGAAAAGCCACCCTCACATCTCACGGTCCCAACCTAGAGATTATGTTTGAGTCTGAAATGCGATGTACATTTCATTCAGTTGCTCTGGGGGCTGCTTGTTCAAAGTAGAAATCATGGATTGGAAACCTGATTGTTTCCCCTCACCCTACATGAAGCTAACCAGGGAGCTGCAAACTCTCCTTTACTTGGCCACACTCACCCACCAGACTAAGATCTTGCTTCTCTGAAGAACTTCCAGATGGATTTTTTACAGAAGCAAGGATGGAACTGCCATTCTGAGATGCCTACCAAAACTGAGGAGACACTAACTACAGAGCCATGAAATAAAGCAAACTGCTTTACTTCCGACCCCCATCCCAAGCCATATGGAATGTGTGACTCAGCTCTAAGGACAAACATCTACAGTCTTGTAGCATGGGGTCAGCAGAGCACCACAACTCCATTTCCTCTCCCATTCAGAAGAGAAGGCGTTTGCTTATAGCAGGCAAACAGAATGGACAGGAAGGAGATCTGGAATCAGATAAACCTGGCCTCAAGTCAACCTGGGCATGTCAAAAAGTCTCTCCACCTTCCTGTATGAGAAAACGCCTGTCCCAGGCCCACACAGAACCTAATCTCTAGTACATCCCATGGGGGAGGGGACCTGCTGAGGGGTTGAAAGTGTTCTGCAGTTACATCACAGTGATAGTTGTACAGCTGTTAAGACACCAAAAGTACCAAACATAATAAATAATGGGAAATTATTATTTTGTTTTTGGAGACAGGGTTTCCCAGTAGCTTTGGAGCCTGTCCCGGAACTCGCTCTGTAGACCAGGCTGCCTCTGCCTACTGAGTGCTGAGAATAAAGGCATGTGCCACCACTGCTCGACCCTGGGAAATTATTCTTACAAATAAATTGTTAGGCAATTTCAGGTAGTACAAACGTTACAGATTATAGAAACTAAAACAGCTATGACAGCACTTAATTTTATGAGATGCTTGTATATGCAATCCAACCTTCATCAGAACATTGTTATGTAGCACATGGCTGTACTTTGAAAGAATATGATTCTAAAACAGGCCCCTGGAAGACAGTATTGCATGGTATGCTAATTTTGTCAATCTGGCACACCTGGGAAGCAAGAACCTCAATTAAAAAATTGCCTCTGGGGCTGGAGAGATGGCTCAGCGGTTAAGAGCACTGCCTGTTCTTCCAAAGGTCCTGAGTTCAATTCCCAGCAACCACATGGTGGCTCACAACCATCTGTAATGAGATCTGGCGCCCTCCTCTGGCGTGCGGGCATATATCGAGGCAGAATGTTGTATACATAATAAATAAATAAATCTTTAAAAAAAATTGCCTCTGTAAGACTGACCTACGGGTATGGGTATGTCTGTGGGGCATTTTTTTTGATTGCTAATTGAGTGTCCAGTTCATTGTGGGCATTACTAACCTTAAGTAGGTGTGCCTGGACCATCTAAGGAAAGTAGCTGTGAGTATGGCAGCAAGCCAGCAGGTAGTGTTTCTTTAGGTTTCTCCTTGAACTCCTATCCTGGTTTCCCTTGGTGTGATAGACTGTATGTAACCTGGGAGCTGAAAGCTAAAACCCCTTCCTCTCCAAGTTGCTTTTGGTAATGCTGTTTTATCACCACAACAGGAAGTACACTAAGACACGGGACGGAAAGGGAGAAACGGGGACTGGATTCCTCCTAGTATCTAAGTACAGTTGCTCTTGGGTCACTAGACTCCTGGAGAGGAGTTCCAAGCACAAGGCCTCAGGGCCCTGATAACTGCCCCTGGTATTCTACTTGGTATTCTACAAGGCAAAGCCTGGCAGCCTGCCGTCGATACAGGGCCCCTTGGAGGGACTGACAGCAGGATGCATATGTCTTGGCCATAGCTGCGGCTGTAGGGTCTTAGTTAAGTAAACTTAATTCTCTGGTGAAACTGTCCTACACACTGCAACTGACGGTAGCCAGCGTGCTCCCATGGTCTTTTCTGTTCCCCAGAGTACCAGGCAGCAGGCATACTACCAAGTCCCAATGCAGCAAAGGCCAGGGGAGAGGGAAGGGGAATGTGCACAAGTTCTCACAGGACTAAAGACAAGTCCTGAGGGGATGAGGCAAAGGTGACAGAGAGGACAAGGCTTAGAGGGACTTTCTGACATGACTTCTTCTAGGTCTACATACCAATGTTCTCCAAATGTTTTGTTCTGTGGACTTTTACCCCCCTGTAGACTTCTTTACACCCAATTATTGGGAACTTCAAATAGACTTATCTACTATATTAGAAATATCTCTTAAATACTTAAAAAAATGAAGAATTAAAAATTTAATTCAGCCAGGTGGTGGTGCACACCTTTAATCCCAGCACTTGGGAGGCAGAGGCAGATGGATTTCTATGAGTTTGAAGCCAGCCTGGTCTACAGAGCTAGTTCCAGCTACAGAGAAACCCTGTCTCGAAAAATTAAGAGGCTAAGAATGTAGCTCAATGGGAGAGCAATTTCCTTGCACATGTAAGGTCCTAGATTCAATCCCCAACACCAAAAAGATTCAATGTCATGAAACTATCAAGCTCACAGAATTTTAAGTTTTCAAAATTCCAATCAATACTCACCAATAGATCAAATTTTAACAGTGGCAACAAATGATTACAAATTTAGCTGGAAATGATGGCACTCAGCATTTGGGAGGTTGAGACAGGAAGATTGCTGTAAGCTTGAAGTCAAACTGAGTCACAGATTGAGAAATGCCTCAAAAAACCTAAACCAGGGGCTGAAGCGACGGCTCAGCAGTTAAAAGCACTTGTTCTCTTACACTGGCAGCTCACAACCACCCAGTTCTGGAGAATCCACTGCTCTCTTAATGCTCCCTGACCTCCACAGGCACCAGGCACATGTATGTCTCTGTCTGTCTCTCACACACACAGAGGCTCAACACTCATACACATATGTAAATCTTAAAAAAAAAATCCCAACTAGTGGGCCATGAACATGGCTCATAGGTAAAGGTGTCTGCTATGCATTCTGGGATCCTGAGTGTGATCCTGGGAAGCCATGAAGCTCTCACCGCCATACGAATGCTGTGGTGCACACACACACACCCTCACATACAAAATAAATACAAAAAAGTTACTAGCAACACATAGAAACCAAAGTTGTTTCCTGTAGTAGGGAATTACTTTGTTCATTTTCAAGACAGTATCATCTGTTGAATGCTTGAATGACCACCTGGCCCACAGTAAGTTCTTGTTGCTATTAATGGCATGGGTGTGGAGATCCAAGGACAACTCTCTGGAGTTAGTTGTCTTAATCCACCCTGATGTGGGTTCTGGGGGTAGAATTCAAGCTGTCAGGTTTGCATGTTAAGCATTTTTACCCACAGAGCCATCTCTCTGGCTAATCATTAACTTTTGACTAATAAAAAACCATCTTTAGCCAGCCAGTGGTAACCATTAACTTTTGGCTAATAAAAACCTATCTTTAACCAGTGGTGACACATGCCTTTAATCTCAACACTTAGGAGGAAGAGACAAATGAATCTTTGTGAGTTCAAGGTCAGCCTGGTATACAGACTGAGTTTCATTCAGGACAGCCAGGGCGGCACAGAAAAACCCTGTTTCCACAAACAAACAAACATATTTTAAAACACAAAAAAGTCTTTGCTCTACTAATATGGTAGTCTGACCTCCAGCCGGGGACCTTGGGAAACCCTCCCCTAGGCTGCAGAAGACACGGCTGTAGTGGAGAGGCACCACTAGACTGAATGTAATAAACACTAAATGCCTAAAGGCAGGGTCAATTTTCCACTGTCAAAGAGACCTAGAGTCTTAGGTAACTCCAGGGAAAACAGCTTGTTGTTGTTCAACGTGGACTGCACGCCAGGGAGGCACCTGCTGCTGTACAGTCTTTTTAAATTAAGCAAGCAGTTGGGACACGGGCTCTGCATCAACCTCACTAAATCCAGCTCTCCGTTTCTGGCTGCCACATCAGAGCCTTGGTTTACTCATTTGCCTTCTTCTCAGAATGGAAGAAGGTCACCAGAAGGGGTCACAAAATGTCCTCTGCTAGAGGACAGGGTTAGCCCCCAAGAACACTGTTACTTCATTACTCAACAGGACTGATGCCTCTATCCTGGACTCATTTGCTCCCTCATCACCTGCAACAAACCTCATTGAGACATTCTGGCAAGACCCAGTCTGAGCACCTCAGCCCTGTGGCATCCGACCCCAAACAGCCGAGGTCACAGCCTCTGA